AAGATATTCTTTGTGCAATTTATCAAATTTTTCTTCAGGGTATTGGTGTTCTAATATTGCAAATTCTGCTACAGCTTGGTTTCTTCAAGTTGTTATTTGTCTAAGTTTGGTTAGGTAATCATTTTCTCGATATTCTTCAAGTTTTTTTTTTTAATTCAATATTGTCAAAGTGAAGTATGTTATTTATTTCTTGGTGGATTTTTATTGCTTCAGCGAGATATTTTATATTTTTGCTTCGTTCAAGAGCTAATTTTTTCAGGTCTATTATTTCTTGTTCATTTGTTCTATTTCAGTTCTTTCTATTTTTTCGAAATTGAATTCTTCAATTTCGGTAGTTACTTTAAGTTTTTTGCTTGGTATGAATTCTTCTTTTTCAATTTCATAGATTTGGTCTTTTTCTTGTTTTCTTTAGTTTTCTATTTCTGGTACATTTTGTGTTTTTTAATGTTTTAACAGGGGTTGGTTGTTTGCATCCAATACATTTTGGTGCTTTTTCGTAACATTTGTTACAATATCTGTTTAGCAATTTTTTTTCATTGTAAGGATATTTATATTCTATGCAAAGTTCTTTTTCCTTGATGTCCAATTGTAGTTCATCATATATTTTATATTGCGCCATTTTTTCTTTCCAATTTTTGTCATTTAGTTCTTTTGGTTTGTAGTCATAGTCAAGATTTTGAGTAGCAATATCTGCTATGACTTGGTCTTGTTCTTCGTTATTGATTTCTTCAGGTTCTATGATTATGTCTTGGTCAATCATGGTATCATTGTCATTAAATTGATCATCTAATTTGTCATAAGATGATGTAATCATTTCTGATCGTTTGTAGTAGGTTATATGCTATTCTTGGATAGTGTTATTTTTTTTTCTTGCAAAAGTATTGCTTTTTGATTATATTGTTTAGGAATTCCTTTCTTATTAAGTAAAGTTTCTTCTTCTTTAATTAAGGCAATTAGCCTATAAATTTTTGATTTATTGATGCTTTTACTTGTGTATACACCATATCTTGTTCTATAGTAGATTCGTTGATGAATTCGATATATTGGTCTGTCAGTTATTTCTGCATAAACCATGAATATTATTATTTCTTCTAGACAACACATATATTGTCCTGTGTTTCAGAGTTGATAACCTTGTCTTTTTCTAATTGGTTTGCAACA